GGAAGTACAGATTGGGAATAGTTCATCGGTAGTGAAGAAAGCGAGATTCGCCGATTTCGAGAAAAATATGGCTCCTCAAAAGTAGGGAAAATAGAAGTTAGATGAGATTGCCATGACGGAAATAACATTGAAGGGGTATTCGGACGAGATTTCTGTTCTTGCAATTGCGAAAAAAGCTGACTACATAAAGCCAGTACTGTACAGAACGGACTTCACTGTCGCCAGGGGGCATAACAATTGTTTGAACTTTGTACATGGGTTCCCTTGTGATCGGTGCAGCTTCCACAATGCCAATGAAACTCGTCCGAGAATACTCACGGGTCAATCTTTGAGCCTTTATAACTCCCTAACTAGGCCGTTTCCCGACGTAATAGTCCAGATTCGGTATACGCGGGGGCCTCCATCGTGTGGGGGAATCTCAGAAAACCTTTTTATCGTGAACTGTGTCTTTAACAAACATCAGCACCTACACCTCGTACGCTACAATCACGATCGAGTTGCTCCCTTCCTACTCTTCACCTGATTACAATATCGCTTGCACCGTTTTCACAACACCTCTAGTGTTATCACTAGAACTAGCTTTTTCGGAAATTTCTTAAAAAAATCCAAAAAAATGACGAAACATAAGCGTAATTGACTGAACAGTAACAGTATAAATTTAGAATGTGCTGAACAATATGCTGTTCATACCTCAGCCCATACTGGAGAACTCTCGGACTTGTATGCAATGGTGAAACCAGCAGGTGCAACATTTTCAGGAACATCCCAGTCGACAGTAACGGAATCGGTACCGGTGATTGTAATGCGTGGGACAGAGGGAGCAGTCGTGGGAAGGCCTAAACCGTTTCTATGTAGCCATATGACTGGATCATTACCGTTGAATGCGATGTAACACCAAATGAACCTGAAAAGCTCATACCCGATGTTGATGTAATGGTCAACGGTTCTGATGATAAGCCAGAGTTCGACATCAGTCCCGCCTCATTGACAGCCTCTATCTTGAATTCATATACTGCACCTTGGCGAAGGCCATCCTTAGAAAAGCGGGTGGCGAAGATAAGCTCGTTGTTGGCCTAGGAAAGAGAATGATTCAGTGGAGAACATCGAAGACCACTTCAGGCCTGTATCATCCCTTCGCTCTTACCTTCGTCCACTCCCCTCCATTTTCCTTGAGGAATACCTCGTAACCGTAGATCGGAGAACCTCCATCATACTCGGGCTTCTCCCATTTCAGCACGCAGCTATCACTCCTAATGTCAGAAACGACCGGTCGCTGGGTGATTAGAGGCGCTTTGAAAGGACTGCCAGTAGTAATCTGAAAAGCAGCCCAATTAGGCAAAAAAGAAGACTTGATACAGATAGAAAGGAAAGGTTTTACTCCTAAAAGCAAGGAACGCACAACAGGAGTTTCAACCGTTTCGCCGACTCCATATTTGTTGATAGCTGCCACGCTTAGAACGTAACCCGTTGCCATCTTAAGATCATCCACGATTTGAGATGTCTTCGTATCAGAAACCTAGAGCAGAGCTATTCCGTGTGTTCTTCTTACTGTTCCTTCTTTTCCTACCTGAGCAATCTTCTGGAAAGTCCGTCGACCCGCTTCTTTTCCCATAATCACATACCCTGTAATAGGTTCGCCCCCGTCATCTAAGGGTTTCTCCCATGATATCGAAATGGAGTCATCGTTTACTGAATTGACGGCGATTCCCATAGGAGGTCCAGGCATATCTAGGACAAAAAGTATTCGTTAGAGACTATTCAGGTTTTTTCGGAAGAAAAAGAAAAAAGAAAGAAGAAAAACGGAAGCATACCTTTGACTTTGACCGTGAATGTTTTTGTGATTTCACCGAATTCGCCTAACAGTTTCACTGTGTACTCTCCAGAATCAGCTTTTGTTGGCTGCTTCCTCAGGAAACTTAATGAGTTTTCTTGAACAACGAGCTGAGTCTTTGAGTCTTCCCGTACAGGTTGTCCATTGAAAAAGCAAGTCGCGATCACTTCACCTTCGCCGTCAAACTCTGCACTGAACATGATGTCTTCATTCTTTCCGATCTCTATTACTTCCTCAGTGCAAGATTTGAACTTTGGTTTTCCGGAGATTTTAAGATTCGTTGAGGATGTGGACTCGTCAACTTGGACCATGTACCGCCCCGCATCTTCGACATCCGCGTTCTTGATCGTAAGCGAGCACGACGTTCCCTCTGATGACAGTTCGAACTTCTCTGTAGCAGTAATAACCTCGCCATCTTTAGTCCATTTAACGTCTCTTGATGGATGGTTCAGGTCGACAGTGAGCACAACAGGTTCCCCCTTCTCGCCACAGGTTTTACGCTTCAATGGTTTTGTGATTTCTGCGAGAGCACCCTTTATGATGACATCCGATGTTCCATCCGTTATGAGATGCTCTTAAAAAGCTTCCATCAAAAGAAATACCATCAATCCTGATCTCAACATAGTGAGTGCAAATGTTTTCGATCATTTTCAACAACTTATACCTGAGGATGGCGCAACGATAAGCGGTTCCGATGGCAGATTGGAATTTGACGATATTCCTGATTCGTTCACAGCCTCCACCTTGAATTCGTAGGTTATGCCTTGACGAAGATCTTGCACGGATAAATGAGTGGCGGAAACAAGTTCGCTGTTGACCTAAGAAAACAAATTTGTTTAGAAGTTGTAATGCCTGTTTCAAAAGCAATGGGACGTCCGTAATGGGGACTACTCCACTCTACCTTTGTCCATTCTCCGGCATTCTCTCGGAGGAAAACATCGTAACCACAAATGGGTGACCCTCCATCTTCCTTGGGCTTATCCCATTTTAGCATACAGCTATCACTGCTGACGTCGGAAATGACCGGTGGTTGAGCGATCTGCGGAGCTTTGAAGGGGCTAGCGGTAGTGATCTATAAAACAGCGGTGTTCATTGAAAGCAAGAGCCTATACTCTCCACAAAAACTTGTTCTCAGGAAATTATAGAAAATGAAGAGAAAAATGGCGACCCACAGGAGTTTCGACAGCCTCGCCAACTCCATATTTATTGATAGCTGCCACGCTTAATACGTAATCCGTAGCCATCTTCAGATCTTCCACGATTTGCGATGTCTTCATATCAGAAACCTGAAGGTGAACAATCTTCGTGTGATCTTCTTACTGTGCACTCTTTTCCTACCTGAACAACTTTCTTGAAAGTACGACGGCCAGCCTCCTTCTTCTTGATCACATATCCCGTTATCGGTTCGCCTCCGTCATCTGATGGTTTTTCCCAGGCAATTGAAATCGTATTACCTCCAATTTTGTCAACGGATATTCTCGCAGGTGGTCCAGGTACATCTAAAACAAAAACTGCCTGTAATAGCGTACCTTTTCTCAAGTAAAATCTGAGCGTACCTTTGACTTTGACAGTGAACGCTCTTGTGATTTCACCAAATTCGCCTGACAACTTCACTGTGTACACTCCAGAATCAGCCTTCGTCGGCTGCTTCTTTGAAAATTTCACTGAATTTTCAAGAACGATAAGCTGAGTCTTTGAATCCTCTCGTACAGGAGATCCATTGAAGAAACAAGTCGCGATCACATCATTCTGGCCGTCAAACTCTGCACTGAACACGATGTCTTCACTCTTTCCGACCTCTAGCACTTCCCCCGAGCATGGTTTGAACTTTGGTTTTCCAGAAATTTTCAGATCGGTGAAGGATTGGGATTCGTCAACCTGGACCATGTACCGTCCCGCATCATTGGAATCGCTGTCCTTGATCGTGAGGGAACAGGACATCCCCTCGAATGTCATTTCAAATTTTTCTGAGGCAGTGATAACATTGCCATCCTTGGTCCATATGACATTTTTCGCTGGACCGCTAAGTCCAACGGTGAGCCCAACGGGCTTTTTCTCTGTACCGAAGGTTTCGGACTCCAACGGTTTTGTTATCGTTGCGAGTGCTCCCGCTGCAGTGACATCAGGGGTTGCATTCTTTGCAGATCGTCCTTAATATGAGTTTTATGTAGACAAGTGGGATCAAAAAAGCTTCCACCCACACTATATTCTCAATTACTAATACCTGTGATCGGTGCTATGGTTAGCGGTTCCGATGGTAAGTTGGAGTTTGACAATATTCCTGCTTTATTCAGAGCCTCTACCTTGAACTCGTATGCTACACCTTGACGAAGATCTTTCACGGGGAAGCAAGTTTCGGTAACAAGCTTACTGTTAACCTTAAAAAAGAATTTTAAATTAGTTGGAAGATTTTCGACTAGTGCTAACCTTTGTCCACTCTCCGGCATTCTCTCTGAGAAAAACATTATAACCACAGATAGGTGACCCTCCGTCGTCGCTGGGCTGATCCCATTTTAGTTGGCAACCACCAGAGCTAACGTCGGAAACGACGGGTCGTTGAGTGATTTGTGGAGCTTCGAAAGAAGCGCCGGTGGTTACCTGTAAAACAGTACTTTTTAATAGAAACGAAAGTAGGGCTGTCAAAAGGGCACGAGGTCTTCAACTAGAGAAGAGCTCACGACAGGAGTTTCGACCGATTCTCCAACTCCATATTTATTGATAGCTGCCACGCTGAATACGTAACCCGTTGCTTTCTTCAGATCATCCACAACTTGTGATGTGTTCGTTTCAGAAACCTAAAAGACAAGTTTTTCGAAGTAATTTCCTGGTTGTGTCTTCTGTTCTACCTGAGCCACTTTCTGGAAAGTTCGGCGGCCAGCCTCTTTCTTTTTTATCAAGTAACCCGTTATCGGTTCGCCTCCGTCATCTGCAGGCTTCTCCCATGCGATTGAAATGGAATTAGTTTTAATTTTGTTGACAGAGATTCCCGTAAGCGGCCCAGGCACACCTGAAGCATGAAAATATTGATGGAAATATCGTCTATTTCAGTTGGATGAAATTCTCTATGATGACAGCCGCACTTTTAAGAATTCAAAAAAGTGTTATTACTTTGATTTCTGTAAATAATCAATAAAAAGCCTGACCCACATGATGGAAGTAAATGAGAAAACATCAGCAACCTTAAGCCTTTTTCATTACTGTTTTCACATTTTCCTAAGTGGACGGCGTCTATTGCATCTCGTTGAAGGCGCAGTCCACGATAATTTTGAGGTTAGCCAAAAAGCGGAAGTGTAGGGTGGGAATAGTCTCCGGTAGTGAAGGAAGCGAGAAAAGTTGATTTTCAGAAAAATAAGGCTCCTTGAAAGAAGGGATAATGGAATTTGGACGAGATTATCATGACGAAACTAACATAGAAGGGGCATTCCAACGAGATTTCAGTTGTGGCAATTGCGCAAAAGAGCTGTCTACATCATGCCAGAACAGTCCAGAGTTATCTTCCACTGTAGCTATGGGTAGTGACAAGTGTTTATACTTCCTACATGGGTTCCCTTGTGATCGGCGCAGCCTCTACAATGCAGTTGAAACTCGTCCGAGGGTACACACGGTACAATCCATGACCCTTTATAAGGCCTTATCTAAGCCCTTTTAAGTTATGACAGCGCCACATACGGCATACGGGGGTCCTAAAAATTCATTTTAGGGATATCTCAAAAGTCATTTTTATCGTGAACTGGCCCTTTAATGGTTTATATTAAAGGCACAGCTCACGATATAAATGGTTCCTGAGATTCTCCACAGGATGAATTTGAGGCTCCTGCGTATACCATATCTGGCATTATAAGGTCGGAAAACGGCCTAGATAGGGAGTTATGAAGGCTCAAAGATTGGCCCGTGTGTATCCTCGGACGAGTTTCACCGGGATTGTAGCGGCTGTACCGATCACAAGGGAATCCATGTAGGAAGTTCAAACAACTTGTCATGACCCCTAGCGACAGTAAAAGACAGTTCTGTACAGTTCTGGCTTGATGTAGTCAGCTCTTTATACAACTGCAATAACTGAAATCTCCTCCGATTACCCCACCCATGTTATTTCCGTCACAGCGGTTTCTCTCGCTTTCTTCGCTGCCGATGAACTATCCCCAATCCATACTTCCGCTTTCCGAATAAGAACGGGTACCTCAAAATTATCGTGAACTGTGCCTTCAAGCTACGACAAAAGGAGAACGTGAAGCTCTCCATAACGAGGATACCATTGTAAGGCTCGAACCTAAACCAGCAACAAGTGCCTCTCGAGTCGTCAATTTTCCTGCCGTCGAGGTCGTTTTTGAAAAATATATTTAATAAAAATGTAGGAGTGATTAAATTATGTTACATCTCAGGACGCAATGAAGAACTCTATACTAAATGAGGTAGTTAATGCAGAATGTAACGCTAGTTAGAAAAGATCGGTTTCATTCTGTCCAGGAGCCGACATTTCTTCAACGTAGACAAGTCAGAGCAGAAGACCGAGATTGTCTTGGGCCTTTACTCTGTAAGGCTGCGGGAAAAGCACCCGCCGAAAATTTCACAATACTGAAGGTCGAGATTGTCTGGAGGCTTCCATAGGGTGCTATAAAGAAAAGCTAGGATGAGCTGTACAAAGGACTGCTTTGTAAGGGGCAGGGGTTGAGGGTAAATACTTGGAACCATTCTACACTGGATTTTAACAGCAAAAAGGCCGATTCGAACTTATCGAATATGAGTAGACTGTTCTGTTACTAGATTAATGACTGAATTCAAGGATAAATGAAGGAACATGCAGCCTGTTATGCTATGTGTATACGAATGGGTGAAGCCCTCACATGGTAACCCCTTGAAAGGGGTGTGGTGCAGTAGGAACGAGCTTCGCGGCAAGAGGATCGCCGCGCGCGAAGGAATATAGCAGAATGCAGCAGGAGTTAAGAAATACAAGAACAAAGGAACTAACTGTAGAATCATACCTAAAGTAAGGATCGCATATCGATTGAGCTGTATGAAGTACCCTAGAGCAGTAACAACGGCGAAGGAATGGTCGCGACAGCCGCGCACTGACCACACAACCGTTCTTATTGCCCGTCTCCCCCTAATAGTACATATTAGGCACGCTCATGAGGTGGAGTTGAATTAGTTCTAAGTGACATTGTCACCATATGAGCGTTTCAGAGACTCATCCAGAATCACTAACCGTTCGAGCAAACCAAGTCATCTATCCCTCCTGGACCGGCCAAACGATACTAGAAACGTTGGAAGGATAAGTATACCGCGCTACACACCTAATAGCCTCCCAAAAGATTGTACAGATCACATACCATTCAAACGTTTCTAGGTATCTGAATAAACGCTGACTGGTGGGCAAGTCCCAGAACGAATCCAATCAACGTGAAGACACCTAATATCCTGGTAACTGATATATTGACTCAACTCAAGAGGGACGGACAATCAAGGAGCGGTCATTATTCTACTCTTCTCCAAAACTCTATAGACATGGAGTTTGTCTTTGAAATCCTATGAACATTAATGGAATTTATTTATTTATTTATTTGGTGCACGCTCAGACGCCCAACTAGAATTCCATGATCACATCAATTCTACAACTACATACAGTCAGATAAAAGTAAAATAATTGAGCTGCGCCAAGGCAGGGACATCGTACAAAACTTCCGAAGTGCGAGTTTCGATGGAAAAGGGAAAACATTCGAACATGATATGAATTCCGCAGGGTTAACTTACTTCAACCAAACTTAGACCGGTCGAATGCCACGAAAGTGCGCAGAAGTTCATAATGTTCATGTTTTTCTATGAAAGCGCATTGAGTGGTCAGTATGGAGCTTTTGTTTATTCAGGGGTTCCCACATGACACTGTGAAGAAGAAGGCCGATCTCCATGATTGGATAACTAGAAGCGATTAGGTTCATATAGGGCTACTGCACGTCAAGAGAGTAAGGTATATGTGCTAAAAGAATATTGACCGGATGGCTTAAAAAGGAAGAGTTAAAAATGAGAGAATTGCAGAGATATGAAGCATCCTCCTCAATTAGATTGAATAAATGAAACCATCTCTTGTTTCTAGACATTTTCACCTCAGAATATTGGTACAGGAAGTTTCAACAAGCCCAAAAAAAA